AGGGGAAAAGAGGTGCAGTGCCCAGCTGGGGTCCCTTCTGGTAAGGAAGTGGGGGGTTTAAGCCCCCTTCCCTCCCTGCCTCAGCTTGCCAGCCTGGCTGACATGTAGCCACACACCCCACCTTTTCACTTGAACCGGGAGCAGGGAAAAGCCTGGCAGGGGCTGCTGAGGCTTTGCCAGACCAACCCAGGCTAGAGTCCCAGGTGGAGGGAGGGGGCTTAAAGCCCCCTCTTGCCCTCTGTCTCATTCCACCTGCCTGGCCCCAGGGTCTGGCTACCCTCCTTCCTCTGCTGCAGTGGTGAGTGTGGGGAAAAGCCTGGAAGGAGCTGCTTTTATGGAGCAGGATTTCCCACCCTCACCCCTCTTCTTAGCCAGCCAGCCACTGTCAATGCTTCAGCTGGGGAACAGAGGGGTGGGGCCAACCCTGCTCTCTGGAACAGACAACATAGCCCAGGCTTTGCAGTTTTGGCTGCAAAGCATCGTGGGATGCTGAAGGACTGTGAATTAACTTGAACCGGAAAGGGGTCTGGGACAGAAGTTCTGTAAATTGTTTTCACCTATATTGGTTAAGTCTGATACTACATCCAACCAGGTTTACCTAAAGCCTGTTTTGGCCATTTTGTAAGTGGTTTAAGTGCACTGAACATCTGTTGTTACAGGTTTAAACCAGTTTCTGATGACTTAAACCAGTTTATGTTTAATGTCTGTTCCTAGCCATTGACTGTTGTGTGCAGCCTGCGGGCATGCAGCCTCCGGGCACTCAGAACATGGACAGTCCTGATTTACCCCTCTCTACAATAGCTACCTCTTGTCAGTTGTTATCTGCAACCTTGGGCTTTCAATGTAAGCTCTTCAGGACAAGGTCTGTCTTGGGTCCTTAGAGTGGTTAGCACAATGGGATTGGCATATGTTTTGCATTGATCCTACTCTTAATAATGAAAGAGGCAAGGATTGCTTAGAATGATAGCTTTTATTGGACCAACTGTGTAATTGGGATAAACTTAGACAAGCTTTTGAATGCAAGACATCCTTTATCAGGTCTCTTGTGGACCATCACAGCTAAAACATTACTCCTTTACTACCTTAATAAGGAAGGGATCCTCACAATACCTGTTGCTTTTTACTTTCTTGCATGAACGATAAAACTCATCAAACACATTTTTAAAGAAGATTTATACATAACAGATAGATGGTTTTCAGGAAACAAATGCAAACTACAACCCTCTTCTGGTGCCCATCCTCGTATAGGAAAGCTTTACTTACATAAGGCAAGTTGTGAAATCTATCCGTAGGTCCTGAGAAGAGATGTGGATTTTCCTGTAGAAATGTAATGGTCTGTATTTCAAGTTAATTATTGAACTTCCTATCATGCTAATTCCTAATACAGTAGAAATATGTGTTCTAAAAATTGCACTAAAAAAATTACATGCTGAAAAATCCATACACAGGGTGTTGGCAGGCATAACAGTTGCACAGGTTTCAGTTGCTTCATTCAGGTATAAAGCTCCCATGTTTAAGCTCATCTGGAATATTTATATGAATCATTTTGTGTTTTTCAGGCATCTTCTGTTTTTGCATATGGCTTTTCAGCTGTTGGAATATTTATGGCTTTTTTTCTGCTGATTCAAGCATATCCTTGGACCTATTACATATACTGTCTGTTACCAGTACCAGTTTGGTATGCTGTTGTGAGAGAGTAAGTAAAGCATAAAGCTGTGTGAGACAAAGCCATGTCTCTTTCCTCTGTGATGATTAGATTATCCAAAAGGTATTGACAAATATTTTTTTCATTTGATTTAATGAAATTTTGTTTTCTGATTCATTCAAGGACACTGGCTTATCTTCCCCCTAGTGGATAGAGTAATATCCATAATGTCTTTTGTATTAGGAAACCTTGAATAGTAAATAGTTAACATCTGACCGAGTAAAGTGCAGCTTGTGAAAGCAAACACCTCTCTGAATGAGTTGGTCTCTGATATCCTCCCTGCCCTGCCTCCTTGAATAGTAAAAATAACTTTTATCTTTCAAAAAACAAAATATCCTTGCATGGTGGAGCTCTTTTTAGTTCAGGAATGATTTTTGAAGTGGTTAAAATGTAGAATTACAGTACCCTATTCTATAATTTGGGCAACTTTTCTCTCCACCCCAATTAACTTTTTGGTCCTCCAGGTAGAACTGGCAAGTTTCTGTTGGAAATGAGGTTGCTAGGTGGTACCATCCAGGATCATATCCTCATTTTGCAAGACTTATTCTCGGTTTTGTATTCCCTTAGGAGAGTAAAGACAGGGGAAAACTTCTAGATTATGGAAATACATGTAAACTTGAGGTTGCAGTTCTTTGCCTAATATAATGTTGTTATGTTAATATTAATAACTTATTTATTTTCAGGGAAACTATTGTGATTGGCATGTATTAATGGACTTTATAGTAAGATGCCAATAAACCTAACTGAGTATATTTTTCTAAAAGCTTTTCAACTTTGCATTAGTTTTGGTAGATACTGACCGTAGTGTAAAATGCTTGTCAATGCTCGTCAGCAGCCAATTTAAAGAGGTTAGTCTGATACTTGCAAAAATACAGGTCAAAGTAGAAAAAATGGCTTCTTGTGAATGCTTATGCTCTGAACCATCTGTGATTAGGGTGGAGACCCTCTCTGTTTTAACTAAATGTACATTCATTATTCTTCCCAATCATTTTGAACAGATTCCCAGTGATTCAAGATCTTATAACACTACTCTTGACATTTCCTCTGCATCAGTCTATTGGATTCCTATTCATTTGTGCTCTGGGAATTGAAATATTAGTAAGTACTTGATTAGTATTATTAATAAAGTACTCAGCTAACTTATCTGCCTGAGAAAATGTCACTTGCCTATTTTTTTTCAATCTCATGTTAGAATTTCTATTAGGTTTTCAGCTTCTTCTACCGTTCTACACTTACTGTTGGTCTCATCATTTTTGCTGGCTGGCCAGTGATCACACAGCTATGGGCTCAAGCAAAGGTATGGATTTGGCCAAAATAATTCTGTCATTGGTTACTAGGATTGGACTTTATGATTATTTTTTCTCTAAAGAAAGCATTGAGATGAGGAGTAATATTTAGGAAGGCAAAGGGATGCAGCATTTTTTTTTAATCTATCGCTAAGCCAAAGCAATAAGGCTGCTGAACAAGCTGAGTTGCCGTGACATTAAACTGACAGCTGATACTGGTTGTGGGATGTCTGTGTTGCATTTGGTAGTCACTGTCCTTGCCAGACAGGTTTCTTGAGTACACAAGATTTCTCCTGGAGTCCCCCCCATCATAGTCTCCATGTCATGCTTTCATCCTACCTTCAGGACAGCTGCAGTTGTCAGTTTAGTATTTTGTGATACAATGTTTTATTAAGTCCTTGTGTTGAAATCAATATAAATACTCATATGCAGAAGTGTCAATACAACGTAGCTGTTTTGTAAACATTAAGGACCTCAAAGGGGGTATGCATGATTGATTGGAGTACAGTAGATAATTTAGTTAAAGTATTTACTCTAATCCAAGACAAGGTCTTTTCCCCCCCCATGTAATATGGAGGCAAAACCTTTAATCTTTGACTTGAGTCCAAGGTAGGGTCAGGACCAGAGCTGCAGATGCCGCTGCCTCATCCCACAACTGCCTCTGCCCCTACCTCTCCCTCCACAATGCAGTGGCAGCAGCACCACAGTGGTGGTGGCTGGAATAAAAATGTGCTTTGTGCCTCAGGTTGCAGCTGGGCTGGAGTCCTTCTAGGGCTGTGGGGAGGTGGGAAGAGGAGGCAGGGAATAGGCAGAGGCAATGGAGGGGTATCTGGGGGTGGTCAGAGGCTGTGGGGACAGGCACCAGGAGGAGAACAGGTGCCATGGGGTGCAGGGGTGAAATCTGCCCCCAGCAGTAGCAAAATCCACTGCCACTCTAAAGAACTAAAATTCCCAGGGTGCCACTCTGACGCACGCTGCTGCTGCTGCACTGCTGCTGATCGTTGGAGCCCACTAGTATAAATGGTGGGAGGAGCAACCAGGGCAGCAGCCCCAAGTGCTGCCCTTTGAGAAGAACACAAAACTAGCCACCACCACAGCAGTGGCTGACTGTGCCACCGTGATTGGCATTGTAGCAGCCTGGTGCTTCCTTATGTGTCAAAGCTGCCCCATGCATGGAGCTGCCCTTCTATGCCTCTGCTGGAGCCAGAAATTGGGGGGGGCACCAGAATTAAGGCAATGCCTGGTTCATGTTCCCTGGTTGCCCGCCCCTTCTTATGCTACTACTATAGAATACTTTTATGTGTCTGCAGCCTAGTACCAAGTCAAGCATGACAAAGTTTTCTCAAACCAAAATGTTCAGTTTTCTCAGTTTTTGATGGTTTCCTGCTATGGCTAAGTTAGAGATTGCTTAGAAAATGATGAGTAAAACGTGATTTTTTACTTTAATTTATGAACTAGAAAATATTGCTGCCTGGTAAAATAGGGATGATTTATTAATTGTAGGATAATTCTTTTAACATTATACTTGTGTACAGGTCTCATATTTGCATTATCACTCCTCGCTGCCATAAGATTATTTACCAGGCTTAGGAAAGTACTTAGCATATGCATAACTTGTTAACTCTCATTGGCTTCAGTATGACTTTAGCAGTTGTCTAAATGCCTTCTTGAATTGGAGCACCTTTCTAAATGAAGCCAAAGTGCTCTAATATAAGTGACTCCATCAATTTTTTTCTGCTTGTGTTATCTCAGATATATGCAATCACTTTTTTTCACCTCTGGGGGCTGCCAATAGCTGCTATGCTGCAAGCTCAATATAGTATATATTGAAATGTTTTCTCCATTCAGTCAATTCTCTGTTCAAAATGACCTCCAAATATGCTGCTGTTCTGTTCCTTTGTTTTAGATAACAGCAGTAAGCTGGACTCTCTTATGTTGGCTTCTGGCAATGTTTCCCTTGATGCCTGTTGTTGGAAGAGAACCAAATATTTCTCTTGTGTAAGGGTAACATTTTTTTTCTTTGCAACTTTTTATTTCTCAATTCACAGATGTAGGCTGAGTTTTGATATATGTGAGGAATTCTGTTATTGAAAACTGGTTGAAACAGGTATTGAGATTCAGAATTTAAATGAGGTGATTATAGAAACGTCAGTTATTCACTAGTATGAATGAAAATGGACTTTTAATTTTCCTACAATACTGTAACAAAAGGCACAGTGTTCTATAATTTCATGTGGAGAAAAGCATTTTTCACTATAGACAAATTGCAAATTGTACATGAAAATAAAGATCTTAATTAAAGGAAACTTTTTCATTTGGGTACAGACATGGTAAATAGCATTGACAAACATGAGAGAGCGCATTTCTCTAAAACCCATTTGCTTTGACAGTGTCTTTCTGAATTCCGATACCTAATTTTAAGTAATTTGAATAATAGTCTATAATGAATTTCTTATAGTAACCAGATGAACTTTTCCCCTGTTTCTTCATGTCTCCTGTTTCATATCTTTCTGTTTCACATTTCCTAATCCATTTCTTCTTTCCATTCTCTGTCCAAGTACAGGTTGTGCTTTTCTTTCCTTTGTCACTTTCACCCACCCCTTCAGTTTCCCCCTATATTCCTTCTGGTACATCTTCTCTCCATGATCTGCTCCATTTCTTTTGCACTCTTCCTGGTCATCTTTCAGGATTTATCTTTTTCACCTGTCTAGTTTTCAGTCCCACTAATTTGTCCAGCTTCAGTTCAGGTAGATAGCACATGATGCTTAATGCAGAGAAATAAGAAGCTTGATTTGAACTTGACACTGCCTTTCACAGCCTCACAGGAGGTATTGTACCTGATGGAGCCATTTAAGTACTGTGTGACAGTGCATCAGTAAGATACAGCTTTAGATCAATGATACATGATGTGTGGGTTGGGAGGAGAACAAAAAACTATAATCTAAAGCTTTTCAGAACTATTGGTGCCCTGTTATAATTCCAACATTGACCTTTCTGTTTTAATCAATCCTAGCAATTTTTATACTGACTGGCCCCAACCACTGCCCACCTGCTCAGGTTTTAATGTGGTGAGCATCTTAGAAATACCCAAATGAGATCTTTTTGTCGTATGGCTATTGTTTTGGCTGCATATACAGTCCAAGCCTAGTTTGTTGAATTACAGTACACGAGCAGTGATTGCATATCTTGGATTTTCCCATAAACATATTTTAACTGATCTGGAATGTTTTGTGGATGTCTTTTTCATGGAGTCTTTGGAAAGGCTTGAAACAGTAATTTAGCACGGAGGTGGCACTTTGTGGCACTTGATGGAGTAGGGGTGGAAAAGAAAGTAAAATAGTAGTAGGTAAACTAGAGTGTCTGTGCGAACCAGGTACATTTATTAAACATTTTTATATCTCCAGCATCCCAGGTCAGGGCTCCTTAAGTAACTTATACTGAGTAGACCTCAGTGTAATTCTCATGTTGGCTATATATTAGTGCATGAAAGTCACTACCAAGTTCGAATCAGCTTCAGCAGACTTTTTATAGAGGATGTATTTATTCAGTTCTTGTTTTTCATGAGTGCATATCACAGGAACCATACAGATACCTTTGACAATCCCTGCTGAGAGGCCAAAGAATTAATGGACATGGGAATTATACCATTTTAATGCTACCTGTGGTTCTTTGTACATCTAGGTTGAAGCAAAAGCATGCAGTGCATCTGCTCTCCCTCCCCACCCCCCATACCTGCACATTCTGTGCTTGTCAGTCTGGATCTTTTAATGAACACTGCATTCAGTTTTACAATGGTAAATAAAGTGTGAAGACTATCACTATTTAAAAAGAAATAATCATGAGTAGTAGCCTTCCTCCTATTAGAAATATACTGTTAGACTACTGCTATTTCAAAATGTTTGTGGTTATTTAAAGGCAGTGTTTTATTCATAGATTGTAGAGTTGGAAGAGATCATGAAGGATCATCGTGTCTGACCCCCTGCCCCAGGCAGGAAAGAGGACTGAGGTCAGATGACCCCAGCCAGGTGCCTATCTAGCCTCCTCTTGAAGACCTCCAAGTTGGGTGATAGTACCACCTCTCTTGGCAGCCCGTTCCAGATTCTGGCCACCCTTACTGTGAAAAATGTCTTCCTAATGTCTAACCTGAATCTACTCTCCACTAGTTTGTACCCATTATTCCTAGTTACTCCTGGGGGTGCCCTGGTAAATAGCGCATCTCCAATTCTCTATTGTCCTCCCTTGATAAACTTATAGGCTGCTACAAGGTCTCCCCTCAGACATCTCTTGTGAAGGCTGAAGAGATCCAGATCCCTCAACCTCCCCTCGTAGGGTCTTGCACGAAGGCCACTAATCATACGAGTGGCCCTCCTCTGCACACTCTCCAGATTGTCCACATCCCTCTTGAAGTGCAGCGCCCAAAACTGGACACAGTACTCCAACTGCGGCCTGACCAATGCCACGTAGAGGGGGAGCATCACCTCCTTCAATCTGTTGGACATGCATCTGCTAATGCACGATAAGATGCGATTGGCTTTGTTACACTGCCAGCTCATGTTTGTCTTGGAGTCAACTATGACTCCAAGATCCCTCTCAGCCACTGAGCTGCTGAGGAGGTTATCCCCCAACCTGTAGGTGTGCAGGGGATTCCTCCTCCATAGGTGGAGTACCTTGCATTTGTCTTTGTTGAACTGCATCCTGTTTCATGCTGCCCATTGATCCAACTTGTCCATATTGGCCTGTTTCTGTTCTCTGCCCTCTGGTGTGTTAACTTTGCCCCATAACTTGGTGTCATCTATGAACTTGGACAGGGTGCGCTCTACACCTCCGTCCAAATCACTGATGAAGATATTAAATAACACCGGTCCAAGGACCGAACCCTGCAGGATACCACTGGGTTTTAATATTATGGCAAAACTTGAAACAAATTACTTTTAAACCACAGATATTTGTTTCTGTTCAATTCAAGCACTTGCCAAAAAACCAATTCAGAAAAAACTGAAAATGATGGGTGCTTGTCTTAATATGAAGAACAAGGCGCACACACAAAACAAAAACTGAGTAATTAGAGTGGAGGAAAGAAAAGATTACAGTGACTCTTTGGGTATGACAAGGCTTCAAAAAACAACAAGGCTGGCTTTCCTTTTAATGAGGTTATTCCTGTAGGTTTTCTAAAGGAGATTTTTGTTGATATTTTATTTTATTTTATTTTATTTAACAGAACAGCAGCAGGTTTGTTGATTCTCCTTATATCTATCTCCTCTCTTCCATCTCTTTGGAAAAGCAAAAATAAAAATGTGCATCGCAAAGATCTGGCAATACTTCTTTTTCAGGTCAGTTACTAATTTTCAATACATCTGAATGTTTGCTTTGTTATATGTAAATTGTTTTGTGTTATATAAGGACCCAAACGTGTAGGCCCTACCAAAAAAAACAAAAATTAAGAATAGAAAAGTGATAAAAAATGAGAATTGTCTCATTGACTTCCTTTTTCAGTGAAACTGTGCTCATGGTAATAAACGCTTCTTAATATGGTAGTGTTTGCAGCACCAAATGCTCCTTCTCATTGTGGACACATTTCTTGATGTATATGTATTGCTACCCATGCATGTTTTGATGTGCTGTTCTTCAAGGGTAATGGCTTTCTTGCAGTCCACAGGTATAACTGTCCAATATCAGGGACACACTATCGTCCGGAGAGTTTATCTTTTCCATTTCTGGCTTGAAGTTGAAGACCAGCATGCATCTGTAACTGACTTTTTTATCTGAAGATTCTAAATCCTGTTCTTGTCTTATAACAAAATTGAGACTTTCCTTATATTTTCCTGAGCTGTGTGACCATCACTTCCAAAATTGCATGTTAATTAACCAATTATAGGTATGTTGTTACACTTTTAGTAATCATTTGCACATGCACATCTCTTTAACTTGAAACATGTTAAACAAAGCATCCCCCCACAGGCTAAAATTTCAAAAGCAGTCCCTTTGTAAAACCTATCAGTAATGTCACAGTTTCCTGCTTACCCAAAGGATATGTTCAGTGCATCAGTTTGGAGGGGCTGAACAGTACCAAAAAAAAAGGCCCCATAGTGTAGAAAACAAGTGCCTAAAAGCCTGTGTAAAATATCTGCCTGTGTACAAATAATGGTTTTTACTTGTGGCTCAGTGCCGTAGAAAGAAAAGCCTTTCTAGTTCCACAGTTCAGTGCTTTTTAAAAAGCTAGTATTTCTGTCATCTAGCAGCTAGCAGAGCTTTTATGGAAGTATCTTTAAAATAAATGTTGCATGATCCTTAGCTCTGGGACCACAGCCTAATGAGGTAGCTCTTTGGTGCTTTTACATTTTCCCATGGAGACAGACCTTGAGTCTGAAGGTGAAGGAGATGCCAGGGTATTCTTAAGTCAGTCAAGGGATTCAGGAAATTCTGTTTGCTCTCAAGATGCTTGATTGCATCAGCACGTTCTGTCTAGCTGTTCAGGGAAGGATGCATTTCTTGCTATTAAGTGCTAGAGGCTCAAAAGGAAAAGATTGTAAAAAGTTGCTGCTGTTCCTAGAAGATAAGAAGCGCTTGCCTGTTTGAGCTAGATTTGGGGTTAGTTTTTCAGTGGAAACCTTTCATTGGAAAATGCTGATTTATTGAGACTAACTTTTTTTCTCCCTCCCTGGGAATGTAGCAATTTTGACACAAGTTGTGGGGAAAGCTTTTCATTTCCAGGTTGGGCTTTCTGGTGAGAATGAGGTTTGTCCTGGGATAGGCAATAGCTCACAGAGTGAAGCCATTCACCTTGGAGCCATTCCCTGCTCCAAGTCGGAACAGTTTTTTGAATATGGGCCTCCCACATCCCAGGTATTTGTTCTTTTTATCTGGTTTTCCTCTTACTACTTTATTGGCCGTTACTAGTTCACTGAGTTACATGCTTTAGCCAAAACAAAAATCCCTTCCTCATAAACAGCATCCAGGGTGTGAGTCAAGATTCTTAGCTCCTCTGCCAACATCTTCTGTCACTTATAGCTGACTGGATTAGATCAGCAAAGGAGAAGGCATCTGTTGTTCACTGAGAATAATGGTTCTTTCATATCAGTACTCTTACCTGTTGAAGCATATTAGTGATTCATCTGAGAATGTTTAAGGAAGACCTCTGTCCTCATCCATGGTAGGGCCCAGCCTGACAACAGTCACTTACACTTTTGCCCAACTCTCTTGGCAGAGACTCTATGAACCCCTTTGTGAGTCCACTGATTCATCCAATCTCAAGCTTTTCATGGCGATCACTGATATTTCTGTCTTTTTTGTGAGATCTGCTCTTTCATGCCAGGAACCCATTAACTCCTCATAAGGGTAAGGCTGTTCTTTGTACAGTATTTCCCATCAGTGTACTGAAATTTCCTCTGAATCAAGGCATTTTCCTGTCCATCTTATGCCCTAACTCCCAAATGAGAGGAAGAATAATCATACTCCACTTAATTTCATAGTTGTTAGAGGCTGGAAGGGACCTTACAGATCATCAGGTCCAGCCCCCCTGCACTTGGACAGGAAAGACTGCTGGGATCAGATGACCCCAGCAAGATGGGCATCAAGATGTGTTTTGAAGATTGCCATGGTGGATGACTGTACCACCTCTGTGGGGAGACTGTTCCAAACCCTCGGCACTCGACTTGTAAAGAAGTTTCTCCTTATGTCTAGCTTGAAGCGATCTTCAGTCAGTTTGTGCCAATTATTTCTTGTCCTCTCCTGGGGAGCCTTAGTGAATAGATGCTCCCCTAAGCCCTGATGGTGGCAGCTTATAAATATATCAGGGGCGTACAAGTCCCCTCTGAGTCATCTCTTCTCCAGGCTGAACAGTCCCAAATCTTTCAGTCCCTTAGACTTTCATATTAATCCAGTACAATTCATACGTACCCAAGGTGAAAGTTAGAGAATGTTGAATGCTCTTCTGATCATCCTCCAGGCACTCAGGAGCTAAGAGCTTCAAAAGCTGTCTTGCTCAACTGAGCCAGGCCTTGTCTCAAGGAAACTTGCACAGTAGCTGAAAGATACTGCTTGGCAGGAGACAAGGTTAATTTTTCCTCCTTTTTCAGAAGAAAACCCTCAAACTCAGCAACTGGGTTTTGCAACTTAGTGGTGGTTGCACACTTGCTTGACTTCCTGTTGCTTGGCCCTTTTGGCAATTTTTGGACAGTCATCAAACTGAAAAAATCTTAGTGGGGTATCCTTCTTTGAGAGACAGGAGATTCAAATAATTTTCTTGCAGATAGCTGTGTTTTCCATTTTAGTATGTCTTTTAATTCTTGTATAAGCTGCCAATGTGACCACTTTTTCCTTTGCTGCTTAGGTTGGGACGTTAATAGAGAACCCTGCAATCTCGCCTTGCCTCTTGGCCCAAAGAAATTTCCTCCCTTACCAGTTAAATTGCTGGGGCCCTTTAAGCCCTGGTATTCATGGTCCTCTGAGCTGTTCAGCAGCATAGGCTTTTGAGGTGAAGAGTCCACTGGAAATCTGCTTTACCTCTTTATCAGTGAGGGAATGTTTGCAGTGCATGGGTTCTGGGGGTTTGCTTCTCTGCTCTATTGGAAAGATACTTCTGGATACTTGCCATCATCTGTGATAATAGGTTTAATGGGAGGAGGTTCTGGCAGCTTTCCCACTGTTGGGCAGCAAGACTATTGCCTGTAGGTGGCAATGGTCATAGCATGCATTTCATTTCTAGAAGTATCCCTACTGTCACTGCATTCCACCCCCCCCCCCCCCCCCCCCCCCCCCACCCACCAC